TCCCAAACAAAGTTCCCCCCGGAGGATATCCCAACGAGCATGTTGAAGGCGTATAGGAGAGCGAACCGACGATAGGAGCAACAGCCTGAGCGGACCGCGCGGACAGTCTACAGGGTGGAAGTGAGTCAGTTAACGAGCAAGATGAGGATGGAATTATAGTCATGAAGATTCTTCGTACTTGTGTCATCCCATTCAATGTGCCAAAAGCTAGTGTATTCGGCGCCAACATCTTGGTCATCATTAATGTACAGACTGGATGGATGATGAACCCCGTCAAACGCAATTAGCAACAAACCAAGCCTATCGTATCCCACCGTTCTCCATATCGGCGAGGAAAACTCACCATAGCACATGGTCGTTGGACTTCTCAGCATCAAGACGGCTGACATGTAAGCGACTGTAGATGAGGTCTTGTTACCGGGTACTGAACGCAGAAAAGTAGGAAAATTAATCAAAAAACAGATTGATAGAAACATTTTTTCTTCCAGGAAAAGTGAATGTTTGTGGTAGGGGGACTGGTGAGATGTTGAAGAATGGTAGGCTCACATCGAGCAATATAAGTGACTAGTGGAGGCAGCATAGTGGAGATCGTGAAGAGTATCAGTGTCAGTTGAAAGACTCGAAGCGCGCCCAGCCTCCTTTGAAGTGCCGGGAAGACCCATAGCTGGACGACAATCATGCCAAAGCCGCTGGTACTGAGCATGAATCCTGAAAGTAATCGAAAACGCGCCTCAGCCTGCTGTTCTAACCATTACATGTAAAAGAATCGCGGTGCGTACCGATATCGTCCAAACCTAGCCCCAGCCCTCCGTTTTCGATTTCTGAAAGAAAACCCAAATGCAATGAGATGAATGCCCGAGTATGCAGAAGAGAAAAAAAAGCGGTTATGAAGAATAGAAAAGCGGACTTGTGTAGCCATACAGAGGCACGATAGCCTGCCAAGCAGTGTTTTGGAAGTGCATGATCCCGAGGGAGAGGAGGACCATGAGCAGCGGTTGGGTACAAAGGGAGCGGATCGACGGGGGCTTTGCAAATGTCAATGCGACCGGCGACATCATCACATCTGTGGGCTCCATGGCGTCGGCATTATTGGTGATCGTGCCATAGTCTGCTCGACAGTCGTTTACTGAGGACGTCACGCCAGGTCGCTTCCTCTTCGTTTCGAGTGTCTAATCATGTGTGATACACACAATGAAGGGTGGACAGAAAGAAAGACAATCAGAAGGCGGGCTACGATGATTAGAGGCTGACCTCGTCTGCAAATACCCAACAAGCTGACCTCTTCCATGTAAAAATAGCCAATGATGATAGCAGCAAAGTTCAGAAGTCCACCGCCCAAGCAGGGCAGAAAGTACGGATATTCGATCAGAAATGCGGATCCTCCGAACAAGCTAGGATATTGCTGGGCGGGTAAAGATAGGTATCCGCCCATAATGGGTCCGACAATGCTGCCAATCGCCTAAGAGTACAGAAGTCATAAGCATGAGTTGGCTGGAGTGTTGTGATGATGTTTAAGATGGTGATATCTGGGCTCACATAACACAAAGGCAAATACGCAGCAGCACTGTGGTTTTTTTAAAAAAAAGAAAACATATTTTTCAGCGTCATGTCACCAAATGAAACTACCAGAGAAGAAGGGAGGGAGATAGCAAACTCTGCGAAATTCGTTGCATCGGTGATTTCGCCTACAATACTCTGGCAAAAGCGAGACAAAAGGTGGAGTGAGATGATATTGCAAGCAGACGCATAGCTTGTCTTCCTTCAAGGGGCGACAGTGTGTGTGTATGCATATAGAAAACGAACCTGTAGGACGGCAACGTTACCTGGAATTGATTGCAAGATCAGTACAAGGATGGTGAGAGGGAGGGGAGAGGGAGAGCGCGTACCATTCATCATGCCGGCGAGAAACCTGGAGATGATCAAGCCAAGATAGGTCTTCTGCAATCCGAACAAGATCACACTGACTGCCATCCCCAACAGGCCGGTCAACATCACCGGCTTGCGTCCAATCCTGTCCGACAATCTCCCCCAGAAGATCGCTTTTTTATGGGTTGATTTACATCGATCAGTAAGACAAAATACGTTCCGTCCTCTTTCACTGGGGGTCAAGGGGACAAACTCACCAGTTAACAATTGAGCAATCGCAAACAAGCCTTTTTATCAGGAAAAGGAAAGCATAATG